GTATAGTAGACAATTTCGCGGCCCAAAAGCTACTATAACTACACCCTCAACCCTAAACAAACCCGACAAAACAACCCTACCCCTGTTAGTTACCACGTGCTTGGACCCTTTGGGTGTGTTGCTTGCCAAGTTCGGCTGGCCAGCAGCATCGCCTCAGGGAATCCGAATCTCAAGGATGTTGTTGCGGCACGATATACCATAAGTACAATAGACTATTACGGTTTAATGATCACTATAAGCTGAAGTTCCATGTTAATCATCATTCATGACGACCCCAGTGCTCGAACCTAAGGACCTAAGGGAGCTGACGAGAAGGTACTTGGGCTTCGGGTAATTGTTCCGGTTTTCAGGAATCGGGTTTAGGGTCGTATATGGATCAAAATACTTTGGGTGCCATGCGAGCCATCCCCGGCATTCGGAAACGCCAACATTTGAGCTGAGGGCTTCCAATAATGTTTCAAGCGGTGCGCTGCAGGTGCTCTGCTGTACCCTGGTCGACAAGAGATGAAGGAGAGCCGAAATAACAACTGGGGCCTGAAATGGCACTGATGCTCTCAAGTACCTCTTAATCAAGTAAACCTTAAAGCCTCAACCCTACCTTAACCCCCCCAAATAACCTATCGTTTTAAAGACATACAGAAGCAACTCAAAATAGTTAGGTTTCTTAGCGACTAGGTAAGCCCTCAACGTATATGGGTTCAGCATAGATCGGATCGTAGTCACCCGTTGCGATAATTCTGCACTTAGGGTATACCAAGACCATTAAGTGACGTAGATGTGATGGTTGCATTCTTTAAACTTTTTTTGAGGCCATCCAACACAAAGTACCAGATTTGAGGGTCTAGGTAGAGTCTGAGGCTACAAAGGTTATGTGCAATGCGAGTACACCTTTAAACCGCCCCTACTTCTAAGGGTCATTTGCTGCTAGCCGTGAGCCTTCGATTAAGGGAGAATTACGGTTCCCAAATGGTGAAAGCGATAGCATGATGTATACTTTGGGGGAGGCCACAATCTATAAAGTAGCTACTACAGTGGACTTGGACCCTTTGGGGTTTGGCTTCCCGAAGGACCAAATGACCCTGAAAAGTAGGGGCCCTATACCCATATTCTATGAACCCCTGTGTGGTTTCTGAACCTTAAACCCTTTTAGGGTTCGTTTCGTCCTTAAGGTTTTTTTCCGGAGTATCGTGCAAAGCGTAGGGTTCGGGGTTCAGGTGTGGAGGCCTGAGGCTTGAACGGTTTGGGGTGGTTTAGGGGTTATGGGTTTAGGGATTTTGAAGGCTTACCCAGCTTCGGGTATTAGAGGGGTCTTAATAATTTCAATAGGGTTGTGGGATATATTGTATTGTACGTGTAAAAAGGAGCCCCAAAATATAGTATGGGTAAGTATTAAGGCCCCTATACTGCGAGCATCAGCTGATTTATCTCCGGGCCGTGGCACTTGCATGATCTTTGGGTTTGGGCTGTGCGCTCTTGTCTCAGAGCTGGTGGGCTTACGATACTTAGGACTTAAGATTCAGGTGGGTTCCCGCACGAGGGGGGTTCAAAGCAGCCCGAATCGATAGAATTTGTTTGATGGTTATGGTTGTGGTATAACCCTTACTTGGCGGTTCATGGGTGGTTATAAGTCGGCTTATAGTTAGGGTAACTATACGCACAACCCATATTAGGGGACTTATAGCCCCACTTATATCTACCCCTGATCCTCCAAGTAACCACTATAATACACCCTACAGTAAAGACCTAAAGCCTGAGCTATGACTTATAACCCCTGTTATGGTAGTTAGGGGTAGTTGTCAAAATTATGGCTCCTTTTTGGGACCCTGGTATAGTACGCCACCTCATATTTGGGGTGCCCCAAAAGGGGCCATAATTTTGACAACCACCCTTCTTACTGTACTTACGAAGTCCCATGAACCTCCAAGTATACACCCTAATTCGTGAAACCTAAACCCTAAACCCTAATTCCTAATTCGTCAACCCTTATTCCTAATTCCTAACCGACTCGGGAGAGACCCGCAGCTGCCCGCGTGTTGAAATCAGCTCCTACGCTTTCCCCTGCGATTTGCAGATTCCACGTCAGGTCTTAAAGGGCCTCAGTATCTTTATTTAGGGTTTAGGGTTTAGGGGTTCTTACCTTGGGATCCAAAAACCCTATAGTTTTAAAGGTTAAGCTGCTAAGCTCCAAACTCAACAATGAGGTACTCGGCTTTAGGAGAGTATATTATTACTTGAATACCTGGACCCTCTGGCCTTGAAGCAAGAGGTGGTGTTAGGGTTCGGGGTCTTTGGTACAGGGTGGGGTTTAAGGTTTAGGGTTCACGCTGTTGCAGAAGAAGGTGTCTGCCGCACACCGTTTAGCTCTAGGCCCTAAACTAAGCCTGGATTGGCCATTGCATGCCTATTCCCCTTCCTACGTAAGGTTATGGGAAATCTGGCAAACGATTGTGCAAACCAAGGTGTCGAGACCAGGGGTCTAAGCCATAGAAATCAAAGCTGCCGACCCTGAGTGATGTATGCAATTCTACTGGGCTGCAGGCAAGCGTTGCGGGTAGCGCTTTCCGTGCCGAATTCCTGCCAGTGGTGCTTTAAAAAGGTGCCACACGCACTGAAAACAATGAGATGCACGAATGCACCCTTCTTTGGACAGATCTTGGATCCTTTAGCTGCAGCAGGCAAAGGGCCCCTTGGCAGGATGCAAACTGGAAACAAGGCCTGGTTAGACCATGTGGCAGCTGCTGGCATCGAGTAGCACTTGCAATTTGTTGCGACTGTGCGACAAGGCCCGGCACTGGAATCCTGAACTAGGATGCCCAGTAACCGAGGAATAAAGAGGGGTCCCTGTTGGTATTGGGTAACTTTAGAAGGCACCTAGGACTATTAAAAGGGAATCAGGGTACTACTGGGCATCCTAGTGAATCCTACAGCCTGTAGACCCTAAACTGATGTATATAATGTAGGGGCCTTAAGAATTAGAATAGGCTTTGCAGGGCTCCTTAGTATAATTGTAGTATAATCTACACCAAAACCCTTTTCGATTTATTAAGGCCCCTATAGTAGGTCGGAGTTCCGGGAGCACAACTTTCTTGCTCACTGGCCAACCTGAACCGCCGGACCCTGAAGACGCTTCACCCACGAGGTTCCCCTGCAGAGTTTGGGCTCGGTTTTGCTGTGGAGTTTAATCGTAGTAGAGTGCTGTACTTGGATCCCAATGTATCCATGAACTCGTATGGTTTAGAGATGACTATAGGGGCCTTAAGTTTCTTCCCAAACACCTCAAACAATCCAAAACAAAGACCCCCCCAAAAAGGGTAATCATCCTGTCACTATTCCCGCAACCCTAATCACAACCCTCAAACCCTAATTCCTAAACCTTGTATGAGATGGCTTGAGAGACGCCCTTGTTGGGAGGGTTCTGGGATTCTACTTTTCGAATCCCTCCGTGTTGGGGGGTTTAGGGTGGGTCAAAAGGAGATTTGGTGTCCGGGGAATTTGGGTTCAGGGCTTGGGGGGTTGGTGTGGGTGCGGGCTTTGGGTAGCGGTTCCCGAGAAGCACTGACCGACCAGAATTCTCGCCTCTGGTCAGGCACTGGTGCGTCAAAAAATGCTCCGCGCAAGGATCCAAACAAGTTCGAACTCCGAACTATGGGGTTGAGACGGATGGTTCTACTACGGTTGATGATGTACATTCTGCATTACCTGAAAGAACCTACAGTATGGGATTAAGGGTATATTCCTTCTTATGGTCAATACAGGATTTACATCATCAACAGTAGTACCACGGGTTGCGCCGAAATCGTGGATCCTTCATTGAAGCGGGAAAGAAGACGACTGGAAGGGTGCAAACTCGATACGAGGCCTGATTAGACCTGCCCATGTGGCAGCTGCTGGCAGCGTGTAGCACTTGCAATTTGTTGCGATTTTGCCAGGCCCAATGAAGTTCAGGGCTACTAATGTTACACCCTGTAAACCCCATCAGTGCTGTAGATGAAATTTCCACGGGCGCAGCTTTCTTGCACACTGGCCAACCCGAACCACCAGACTCCAAAGACCCTAAACTTACATAAAAGGTTCCAACAACTCTTCTGGCTTAGGGATTACCTGAACCTACTTGTCGGGCTCCTCACGATGACTTCCTTCTACAAGTCCTGGAAAAGGTTCAGATACGTTACGTATCGTCGGGTTCAGGTAGGGCTTTTGCTCTTGCATTTCAAACCTTTTGCCCAAAAACACAATGCTTCACAGCCAATATGCATATTTTCGTGGCTGTTGAATGCACACACTCCTGTATGAGCAACCAAGACTATTATGCATGGGCCTTATGATTATGGTTAGAATTATTGACTAGATTTTGCGGACACAGTAAAGTCTAGACGTGACGGAGTTGCATTCAAAACTTCTTACACGGTTGGTCGCCCGAAGATAGCGGAAGATATATCTTTGGTGCAAAAGCATAAACAGCTCTGTTTGGAGATAGCAAAAGATATATCTTCGGGCCAAGATAGGCCGAACATATATTTAGGTATAAGAAGATATATCTTTTTTGATCGAAGATAGTGAAGATAGACAGGAACTTAACATAAGATAAAAAAAGATAAAAAAGATAGAAAAAGATAGAAAAAGATAGCATGTGCACAATTTTGGCAATAAAACGAGAACAACATGAGAGTGTGGCGGTTGGGAATCGCCGCATAAACTTGGTCTTAGCTGATACATGGGTTGCATTGATTTTAAGAAGGTTCGGCGGCCCGTCGGGTTGAACTGTGCTTCCTTCAGCACAGGTTGCCTGCAATCTAGACACATTGGGCGGCTCTTTGGGTTGCCCTGTGCAGATATAGATCATCGACGGCGGACATATACATCAGTTCGCTGACCGGGCAGCAAACATGTCTTTGACGAGGTGCATCGGGGCTCATGAGCAATGCCTCGTTTCTGCAAAAGCCCCCTGTGTAGCTGCGTGGTGACCGGGAAGTTTGGACACTGCTGCCGATTCTGTCCGCATGGACACTCCGCCGGGTGCCTTCGCCGACAGGAGCGACGAAGCCGTGTGGGCGACACGGTGACGGCTTGCTTGTCCGTGGGCTGTCTGCGGTTGGTGGAGCCTCCTCACCGGCGCTGCTGCAAGCATTGCCCTGTCGGACACTCTGACCGTTGCCAGGATCGAGCGGAAGCCTTGGCTGCGGAAGCAGAAGTTCGAGCGAGGCAAGGCAGTGGCGGCAGCAAGGCAGGCGACTCCAAGCCTTCCTTCTCCTTGGAGGAGATGGACTGAGGAAATATGTATATATCTTGTGACGGTGCCGGCACCTGCAGCATGCAATTGTCTGTTGTGTTTTGAAAAAGACGAACCTTTTGCACGTGCAGGATCTTGCAAGAGGAATGGCATCATGGTCAAGGGCGGATCCATGGTCCGCCTGCAGATCTCGTTCGCTGCAATCTAGACGGCGGATGGCAAGCGGATAATGTTTATAGGAAATATACAGGTCTGTTAGCCTCCATGTCGTTCAGAGTTGTCGTTCGCTGGATCCATCGGCGGGCTGTGATGCATGGGCTTGCATCCGCAACCTGCAAGTCATGGTTGCAGTGCCTGCAGTGCTGCAGCTCCAAGCTTGCCTTAGGGGCTCTCGGTGTAGCTTGGGCATGGCGGCTGCCTCGCACCTGACAGGCCTCTTGACGCTGGTGCCGCTGGTCGGCTCGGACTCGCCGCTGCTCCCGCCCCACGTGAAAAGGGTCAGCGAGTTGATCCTGACCAGTGCAGGGCTGGGAAGCCTGGAGAAAGAAGACCTCCGGAAGCGAGTGTTGGACTCCAACTTGCAGGACGAGCACAAGGAGTCGCTGGCGGCGGCACTGCAGACGGGGTTCGTGGCCAAAGCTGCGAGGTCGCCGCAGCAGAACTGGGTGCACCTCTTCCACTACTTGCCGACAGCTTTGGTGCAGTGGCTGCAGGAGGAAGAGTGTGTCGAGACCAAGACGCTTAAGGTCCTGTCCTTCCTCGCGGAGCGAGGACTTCACAGCCCTTCTGAGCCAACCTTGGCAGTGGTGACGGTTCTGGTGAACTACCAAAACCAAGGCCAACTGCTGCAGCCCTGCAGCTCTCACGACCTCTTCTTGAAGTGCAAGTGCAGGGCTCGTGCCTTCCTGGACCGGTTGAACGGGAAGAAGCTTCCAACTGGCGGCCTGCAGGAGCTGCCCTGCGACCCTTGCTACCTCGCGGCCCCCACGCCTTCTTCCAAGAGAAGCCCTTGAAGCCTTCTGTTTGGCCTCCAACCTGGCAGAACTTCAAAGCTCTGGTGGCTTGTGTGCCCTTGCGGTCGAACCACGGGGAGTTGGTGTCGGCTAAGCGCTACAAGCGGCAGCTCAGCCGCAGGCAGACAGACGTGGCGGCAACTTCCTGTGCGAGGCCGGCGTCCGTGCAGCCGGTGCCTCTGCAGGTTGTCAAGAAGCCCTTGCCAAACACGGCTGTGCTGCAGGAGGCCCCCCAGGTTCCGGAAAAGCCCGTGCTCCAAGAGGCCCTCCAGCTTCCGGCGACCTCCTGCAGGCCCACAGCGGGCGTCCTCGCAGAAGACTGCCGCAGTGGACGTGGGACTGGACAACAAGGGCGAGGAGCAGGGCGAGGAGGCGGAGCAGCAGCTTGGCAAGCAGGGCAAGAAGCAGGGCAAGGCCGCCTCGCAGGCGAAGAAACACGAGGGCGAGAAGCACCAGAAGCCCGCCTCGCAAGTGAAGAAGACCCAGCAGCAAGACGAGAAAAGCGAGAAGGCCGAGAAGAAGCAGCAGCACCAGAAGCCCGCCTCGCAGGTGAAGAAGACCCAGCAGCAAGACGACGAGAAAAGCGAGAAGGCCGAGAACAAGCAGCAGCAGCAGCAGCAGCAGCACCAGAAGCCCGCTTCGCAGGTGAAGAAGACCCAGCAGCAAGACAAGAAAAGCGAGAAGGCCGAGAAGAAGCAGCAGCAGGACAAGAAAGGCGAGAAGGCTGAGAAGAAGCAGCACGGCAAGGGGGGCAAGAAGGCTGCTGAGAAGAAGAAGCGCCAAAACACAACCCCCGAGGACCGTGAGAAGTTCCTCAAGACCTTGCCGCCAAAGGTGCTGAAGGCTTTCGCGAAAGGCTGCTCCAAGTGCCGGTGGCGCCCGTACTGCACGGTTTGCTGCTGGAAGCACCGTGGATACTGAAAGGTTCACTCCTGCAGCACTCGAAACTCTAAACTCTGAAACCCAAACCTTTAAGCGATAACGAAGCAGGATGATCGCTTTCAGATCCCGGATGCATCCGTGATCTGCAGCCATAGATCCTTTCCTCGTCGCTGTGTTCAGCGGAGGCCCATCGACCGGGCTTGCCGCCTGCTGGTTCTGTAGTTTTTTAAGCGACCCTCGCGGTCACCGACACTGCATGCTGAAGAGTCTAATTCAGAATTGAAGCAATCCATTGCTTTAGCCGTTAATTTGTATAATTTGCATCACACAGACAAGCTCTGCTGGCTGTCAAAACACTCCCGCAGCCGCAGCCTGCAATAGAGTCATATACAGAGTTGTAATAGCATCCCCTCTGTGTGCGAGTTTGTCGTTTTCAGACACACATTGTATATAGCACATACATATATATATATATATATATATATATATACACACTACTTTGTCGGCGGCCCTATATATATATATATATATGGGTCGCTGCTTTGAGTGTAACTCCTTGGTTGGCGGCCCTATGGGTCGCTGCTTACAGAGACGAACACAGGACTTTTTTAGAGTGATAGTATAGCACTCTTATATATTCTCTCTTTCTATATCTTGTTGTCCAAACATGTGCATTATATATACTTATATACATATATGCAATATACCCATGCGAATACATGTACATGGACTCCGGGTCGCTTAGCAAGAGGCGGCCACTTTGGTCGCTTAGCCGCGGGCGGTCGCTTCGGACTGTGCAAGGAAGAGCCCGGTATTTTTTTCTCTCAAGCGCCGCAATGCCGCACTTTGTTATCCTCATCGAAGAGCATGAGGTGTTCGTGGACATCGAGTGGTGGAACGAGCTCACGACGAAAGAGACACCTGACTGAATATTACGACTGCGTTTTTTGTTTTCCTTGTTTGTCGGCGGCCCCATGGGTCGCTGCATGCAGACACGAGCAAATGTCGGCGGTTCTATGTGGGTCGCTGCATGCAGACACGAGCAGAGGCATGTGATCTGAAGTTCTTATACTCAGGCGGGAATGCTTCATGAAGGGCTACCTGGCGGCGAAGGCCCAGGAGAAGAAGAAGGAGGGGTACAAGGAAGAGAAGACCCCTGAGAGCTTTAACCTTCGAAGGCTCCTGGCAGCTCTGACCCTCGAAAAAGGGCGCTGCTTGCTTGGGTGCCTTTGCGATATATATATATATATATAGATACAAATGTAAACCTATATAGCTACATATTTTCAAGCATATACAACCTTTCAACATTATACGGGCGGCCCTTTGGTGCAGCAAATACATGACATGTCTCAACAACTTTCCCTCCTTTATTCGATTTTCTATATCACTCACGTGTTGCTAGCTTCTTGGCGGCTCTGCTGGGTTGCTGCAGCATGCTGATCTCCCTCCTCTTTATATCCGATAAAGTATGAGATGTTATATATGAGTCGTTTGTTGGTGGCTTCTCGGTGGCTCTGCTGGGTCGCTGTAGCATGGTGAGAGAGACATCCCCAGAAGGTCTGCGACTTACATCTTTATACAGGTTCGAAGCATACTGAATCTCGTCAAGTTAGATCGAGCCATGGATCCTGCTGACGACAGCATCATCGCCGATTGCAACCCTGCCGAACTCGCGGAGATCTTGAAGAAGCACTGGTCCCTGGAGAACCGCAAAGAGCTGTGCAAGCACTTGATCGATGGCTTGGGCAAGTCGAGTGTGAAGCCGAGTACTGTGGTCCAGAGTACAAGTAGAAGCAGTGGCAGTGGTAAGCAGAAGAGTCACGAGCTCGCCGAAATCGCTGCTCCGTTCCACGACTGACCGAGCGACTGAAGGATCTGTGCACTTCCGCTTCTGAGAAAAGAGACTGGGTTGAGGGTTTAGGGTTTCGGACAGAGCATGCGGCTCGACTATACTGCGGCGGCTTTGCGGGTCGCTCCAGCCGCTCCAGTAGCCTATCTATATATATATATATAATATAATATATATATAATATATATATATATATATATATATATATTTTATATAATATATATAATATACTACATAATATATATATAATATAATATATATAGTGTATATAATATATAAAACATATATAATATACAGAATATATAATATACATATATATATATATATATATATATATAATATATTATAGTGTATATTATATACATTATATATATATATATATATAAAGACCTGTGAGAAAGATATATCGAAGCTGTCATATGCCATAGATCATATATATGTATATAAATAAACATAGAAATATGAATATATATATATATATATAGATATACACATAAATATGTTTATATATCTATATATGTATATGCATATATATATATATATATGAATATGAATATGTATATATATATAGATATATCCCATGTCTGGGCGGTTTAATGAATCGCTCGCATGCAGTCGTGTGCAGCGGGGCGGGCCTCTGGTTCGCTACATAAGATGGAGGCGGGCCTCTGGCTCGCTAGATATTTATATAGGCGGACAGGAAGATTTGCTGTCATTTGCAGCCTTGGCCCGAGCTCTCTGCCTCGACCATGCAAAGTGCCGTGCAGTTCCTGCGGAGCTGGGAAGCAGCTGTCTTCCGGGAGTACCTGCACAAGCGGCCGCCACCGCCTCTGGCCTCACTCGGGCTTCCCAGTGCGAAGGAGTTCGTCAATCTGCAACCACTTGTAAGTCCGAAACCTTAAACCCTAAACCCCTCAATCCTATACCTTATACGAAACCCTAAACCCCTAAACCCTGATGCCTATATAAGCCCCTAAACCCCAAACCCTATCCCGAACTCAGGAGCAGAAGGAGAAGGAGGCCAAGAACCCGAAGACCAAGGAAGCTCTGAGGCAGATGGTCTCAAAGAGACACGTCGAAAGGACGGTCTTCAAGAAGAAGAAGGCGGGAAGCGGCACAAGTGAAAAAGAAGATCTGCTTATAGGGAAGCCGGCAGTTGAGCTTCACAGTGCACAGTTGTTTTTCGGCGGCGCTTGGGTGTCGCTGAAGGTATATAGCTAGTTGTTGTTTAAATCGTGTTCTTATATAGGGCGGTCCTCTGGGTCGCTGGAGTTGTGTCCTCATCCAAACACTTTTCTATAATAACAGCGGTCTTCTGGGTCGCTGCAGTGCATATATATATATATGTATATATACATATAGCCCCTATCCTCTGGGTCGCTGCTGCAGTGTCCTGTTTTTACTACTTCTCGCTTCGCACAGCGACCCTGTCTGCAGTGTGTGGTGTAACTATATATATATATACTGTATAACAGACATGTGAATAACAACAAGTATGCAACTGTCTGACAGCGGTCTTCTGGGTCGCTGCAGTTATATCTTATAAGAGCGGTCTTCCGGGTCGTTGCATATTCGTGTTAACCCATAAGAGTGGTCCTCCGCCTCGCTGTCGCCGTGTCCTCACCCAGGGACTCTTGTCTCATAAGAGCGGGCTTCCAGGTCGCTGCAGTGCATAGTGTAGGGCTATATAGCTACTGCACGATATTCGTCTTAACCTGGATAAGAGCGGTCCTCTGGGTCGCTTTAGCAGTGTCCTCATCCGTGACTTCACTGGCCCATCATTGGAGGGAGGACTGCATCTTGGAGCCTTCTAAACAGGGCCCAGAATCCTGCCTTGGGGCCTTGTAAACTGGGCCCAGAATCCAGCCTCAGAACCGCAGGCCGGGCCCCAAAGGGCCCAGAGGTGGCCCGCACTAGAACGCACTAGAATGCACTACAATCCGGGATGAGCCCCTTATAAGAGGATCCTATTATAAGGGGACCCAGGCTGAGGGCCCAGAGGTGGCCCGCACTAGAACGCACTAGAATGCGCTAGAATCCGAATCGGACCCGGCCGGCAGCAGTTTTGTGTCCAGAAGCAGCCCTGGGAGCCCTTGCTTTTAGGCACGGCAGGTGCCATGGACGCCTTGGAGACCCAGGTTGAGGAGGCCGTGCAGGAGACTCAAGTCGCGGAAAGCTTGGGCGAGCTGCTCACTTGTGCCAAGTGCAAGAAGCCTCACCCGGCGAGCTTGCTGCTGCAGAAGTCGAAGAACAGCTACCTCTGCAAGCCCTGCAACCGCTTGTCCGCCTTCGTGTCCAAGCTGGAGTTGCCGGAAGGCTTTACCTCCTTGACCTCCGAGCAGCTCGTGGACTTCTACGGCGACGTCAAGAAGTACACAGACGAGAGGACAGGGCGGCTAATTCACGAAAAAGTGAGTACCGCTGTTGTCCAAGTTCTGGAGAAGACCACCGAGAAGTCCCACGAGAGCAGCGAAGGAGGCGACTTCCTCCCGCTCTCTGTCTTGGTGATGAGAGGATGGGATCCCGAACTCGTGAAAGAAGCCGGGGAGTTCCTTGACCATCCGCGGCTCGGACCTTGCTATAAGATGGCGCAGAAGAGTACCTTGAAGCGCAAGGAGTGCACGACTGTGAACCTGCGTGCGAAGAAGGGGAAAGGGACCAGGGCGTTACAAGCGGCAGCGGCTGCAGCTGGAGCTTCGAGTGCAACGGCAGGTGCAGAGACGGAGGACTTGGGCTTGCTCTCGGACGCCGAAGACGACGAGGAGAACGGCACTGAGACCAAGCAGGAAAGGCGGGACCGCCTGAAGCGGGAAGCCCACAAGAACAAGCAGCTGCAGAAGGACTTCAAGAAGCACACAGCGGCGGCTTCCAAAGCCGTGTCTGAGCTCCTGCCGCTGCTTGCGAAGGTTTCGGAAGAGACCAAAAGCAGCAGCAAGGCCCCGCAGCTCTTGGCAGAGGCCCAGGCCTTCCTGGCCGCAAGCACAGTGGGAGCAAGTCTGAGCTTCGAGCTTCTCCACGTCACGACCGAGGCCACCCTGCTCAAGAACTCCTTGTCTGCCGCAAAGCCTAAGAGGGCTGCGAAGAAAGCTGCTACCAAGAAGCCGGAGCAAGCTGAGGGCTGAGTCTGGACAAGTGTTTTCAGTTCCTGCCTCTACAGCGAGGCCTGGAAGTTCCGAGTTTTCTACCTCCTGTGTGAGGCCCACAAGTTTCTTTACCTCCTCTGCGAGGCCCACAAGCAGAAGACCCCTGCTGCACATGCCTGTATAAATCACGGATGCAAGCATATAGGGTATAAATGCATGTAACCGGCAACTCGGAGCAGGCTTTCCTTGCATCCTGATTTATATTGGCTTGTCGCACGAGCAGGGTCCGTACCACTACCTCCGCCACGTGTTCTTTCGACACGACCTGGTGCACGTTGGAAAGAAAAGGATTTCGAGTGAGACAGTGCTGCATGAGCAGTATATATATATATATATATATATTGATGACATAATGTTATATATATATATATATATACATACCTATGTTCACGGCGGCCTCATATATAGAGTCGCTGCACATATACACAATATACAATTATATCGATCATCGGCGTCTATGTATAGTGTCGCTGTAATGCACATGGCATGTATATACTTTTTGTAGTCAAATACATGGCGGTCTCCTGGGTCGCTGCATGCAAGTTGAACGGCGGCTATATAGTGTCGCTGCAATGTACATGGCATATATATATATATATATATATATTACAGTCAAATACATGGCGGGCCCCCTGGGTCGCTGCATGCACGTTGCAAGGGAGGGACTGTGCTCGGCAAGCTGGCGGTGCTGGCAGCTGCTTTGCTTCAAGTCTAGTTTAGAGCCGGTGCCATGCGAAGGCGACTGGAATCTCGGGTGATCAAGGAAGGCCGTGTGGTGCGGTTTTGGCATGGCACGAAGCGGGTCATGGACATGATGTCCATACGAGCGGCCCTGGCCGTGCAAGGCAATGCGACTGTGGCAGCTGGTCTGCTGGCGACGGCAAAGAAGGAGCTGCCGCCGAGCGTTCCAGAGTCCGTGCCAGAGTCCGCCTCCTTGCTGACGGAGACTGAAGAGTTGCCTGGCAGGGCGGCTTCGAGGGAGGTTTTGGAGAAGGAGAAGAGGAAGGGCGTCACGACGGCACGGCACAGGAAGCTCGCGGCGGCGGCTGAGCGGATGGCCAAGAAGTGGAAGAAGTTCGTGGAGGTCACGAAGCCTACGAGGAAGGAGACGAACTTCAAGTACAAGTGGACGACGGAAGTCTGAGCCCGCTTGGAGAGAAAAACCAAGGGTATCTACTGCAGGGGTTTCAGAAAAAGCGGCCCTCTGGGTCCTGCCTCGGCAAGCGAAAGGCGGCCACTATGGTCGCTAGCTCCTTGCATACATATATATATGTATATATTATCTAAGCAGCCGGCGGCCATTATATGGTCGCTGCTTTTGTGTATGTATGTATGTAGGTATGTAGGTATGTATGTATGTATGTATATATATATATGTATATGTATGTATACAGATACATATATATATATATATATATATATATATATATGTATATACTTATTTATATTTGTTTCTGTGTTACGAGATACACAAATACCAAGCTGCAGGCGGCCACTTTGGTCGCTGTACATGTGCCATATAGAGGCGGTGACTTTCATCGCTTGGAAAGAGCAAGTGCTGATATGTGTTTTCTATTTCGCAGGCGCTTGGCTCCGAGCCGACTGAAATGTCGAGCCCAGAGCCGGAAGGTAGTGCCGCAGCGACGCCATGTAAGAGGCGGAAGATCAACCCTAAAAAGGGCAAAGGTGTGGGCGCCGTTGCAAAGGCGGAGCAGAAGGAGGAGGAGGAGGACAAGGACTACGACCCCTTCAGTGAGAAGCCTGCAGAGGGCACGGAAGGGGAGACAAAGTTCGAGTTGGAGGCGGGTGCGACAGAAAGTAGTGTTGCTAGGCGGCCCTTTCGGGTCGCTATAGTCGTGTTGCGAG